TTTTATATTTTTCAGGAAAACCCCTATTTTACTATAATACAATTTTCATCGTTGCTTTAAAGGTGCACCCACCAGGAATTAAACATAAGTATGAACTGTGATAGGGAACTATTCTATACAAGATCAGTGTTTCTTGTTGTCGTCATAGAAATAAATTACTACAGGGCTTTTTAGTAATATAAATAAAATTAAAATAAAAAATCTAGAAAATACACTTGCATTGAATTTTTCAAATAGATAGAAGGAAATAACTTAATATTCATATGACTTAAATTTAAAGGTGAGTGGTAAATATAAGTACATATATAATACTTGTAGACACTAGTTTTAGTCCGGGATTTTAATCATACCATTTTTTAATTTCTAACTTTCTTAATCTTGTTTGATTGTTAGTCAACTTCCTTTAACTAATTTTATTATAAGTACATATCTTTTTAGTTACACAATATCATATTAATTATTAATATTATTAATGTATTATGTAAAGTTAGTTACGTATTTAAATATTATATTAGGAAAATTTGGTTATGATAATTATATTAATTACTAAATATGTTAAGTTTGATAATGTTAAATAACAAACAATTACTAATACTTATGTTTATTTTACATTTTACAGATCCATAAACAAAAGGCCCAGACCACATTACAACTCAGTTTACAACAGACCCATGTCTGTTAAGCCAAACACAAGTAGACCAACTGATGAGATCGAACCGAAGCCCAAGACATCAACCCATTAGAGTCAAGGCCTGATTGACGCAACATTTTGGTTAGGGTTACCTGTCATAACCTAATTTTGTCCGGCCAATCAAATTGGACTGAGAACATTCGAATGGTGATTTGAAAGTTGCTTGTGCGTGAGAGTCGAATCGACTTGAACAACACAATGTGACTGGAAACAGTTCAAGGGCTTCTTGCATTTGGATTTAACGGCCATACTTGTTCATTTATATCAAAACCCTTTTAAATCACAAATCAATTGCTCATAAAATGTCTTTCAATATAACCAAATCCACTTTTAAATTAAAGCCAAATTCCCATATACATTCCCTTCAAATCTTTTTTTTACCCAATTATTAACCATCAACCCAAACAATAACCCATTACACTTTAAACTCATCTCATTGAAACCCAAACCTCAAACCCGACTAAAACTCAACAAACCCAAAATTTTGGGATTACACGAGGAACCCTAGGGTCCTTTGCTGCTACCGTCGCCGATTGCAATTTCCAGAAGCTCCATCTCGTTCCACTCCACGCCAGCTAGCATAGGCCACCTCCCTCAACTGAATGGTCCAGCAAGATGTTTTGCCTCATCATCAGCATGCACAAAAAGAAGAAAAAAACCAAAAGGAAAATGTAATTTCTTTCTTTCTTTAGGGTATGACTGAAAAAAAAGGGTGAATATAAACCCACAAAGCAATGTAAAGATCTTCTTCACCACCCATTTTAGAAGCAATAAAAGAAAGAGAACGAAAACAAAGCATTTTCTCATTCTTTTATTGGTATTTCGAGAGAAACCAAGCAAGATATACAAAGGAAAAAGGTTTCTACCTTATATATTTTTTATTATTTTCAAAAGAATTAAAAAAAATAGAAAATGTAGTTAGGAGATAGGAGATAGGTTCGATGTGGCCATCCGGAGCATCCTTCCAATGATCCATACGGTGAGGAGAAGCGTATGGAGGAGGGGAACGGTTGCCGAAAGAGATCAGAGCATTGAAAGTCGAAGCGTTCTCGGCCATTTTTGTGGAGATTGAGGCTGTTTCTCGTGAAACCGAGCTTGGATCTGCATTCCTAGCGTCAAAATGAGTCGATCAATGTGAGTTGGACCCTAACGGCCACCGTTGCGACGGTGTCCGATGCGACAAGGCGGCGGAGCTTTCCGACTGTTTCTGGCGAATTTAGATGAAAAATATGAAAAATGGAGGAGCTTTATGGTTGAACTGGACGACGTCGTTTTGCCCATACTTGTGCGTTTAGGACTCAGAGGGTCCAATTCTTTCCGTGGTCATTGTATTTGTTACCAGTTTGCATTTTGGTCATCAGGATGTGTTATTTTCATCTCATTTTAAATTAAATGTCCTTATTTTGATATTTTTCATTTTTATGTTTTCATATTAAAATTTGGGGTTATTTTCTTTAAGGTCCTCAAACCTTTTTTCGTATTTTTACAGTTCAATCACTAGACCTCGTCCTTTAATTTCTTTCCATTGTAGTCTTCTAATTCTCATTATTTTTTATTTTGGTTATTTTTAGCAATTTTATTTCTTTAATATTATATATTAAATTTTAAATTTCATCTTATTTTTTATCATTTCATTTATTTATTGTTCATTTTAATTTATTTTTTTCGTATTTTACAGTTCAATCACTAGACCTCGTCCTTTAATTTCTTTCCATTGTAGTCTTCTAATTCTCATATTTTTTATTTTGGTTATTTTAGCAATTTTATTTCTTTAATATTATATATTAAATTTTAAATTTCATCTTATTTTTTATCATTTCATTTATTTATTGTTCATTTTAATTTATTTTATTCTTAATTGTTATTTCATTTAAATCTAACTTCTCAATTTTTATTTTTTCATGTTATTCAAATTAGGATTTTTAATTTTGTATTCCTTTAATTTAATGTTTTGAAATTTTTATTTATTCTATTCTTTTTTAATTTAATTATTCTTTTTATTTATTTCTTTTTATTGATATATTTTAATTAGTACTTTAATACTATACCTTTTTTATTTTTATTTTTAGGTATATTCTTATGCTGTTTTTGATTTAATTTTAATCTCAGCATGTTAACATCGTTAGATTTAGTTTTCATCAATTTAGTCCTTAATCAAAACATAGATTTTAGCCTTTTCTTTAATTTAGGCCCTCCCCTAGATTTAGATATCTCATACTTTAGTCCTTTAATTTAGGGGAGTAATTTGAATTGGCTCTCGTATTAAAATACTTGAGGGATCATTTCGATTACTCGATTCAATAATTGATAAATAATTAAGTTAATAATTAGAGCCTTAATTTTTGACTTTCACTATCTAGTCCTTGAACTCTTTAATTAGATATTCATTTTACAAAAACAAATTAATTATGTTATTAATCAGAGCCTCCATTTTAGGATATATTTCACTTTAGTCCTTCAATCTAGGGATTAATCTAAATTGGCTTATGCATTTAACATGCCCCAATGACCATTTCGTTTAATCGATTTAATAATTTGTCAAAATAAACTATAGTTGATATTAGAGACTATATTTTCAAGTTTAGTCCTTTAGGTTCTTTAATTTTATAATTTGATACTCTATGTTAAGGAAAGTCGTAATTAACCCGCCTAGTTAAATTAGGTACATAAGATAATTGTATGATTGCATTATAATTTTTTAAATTACTAGGCAATGTTCATTTATCAAGGAGTTAATTGTGTATCCTCCACATTATGCTGAGGGGGTGATCATTGATAATTCTCGAAGTAATTCAACATCCTTTTCAAAACCAATACTATGATTTCTCAAACTTTAAGGCAATGTTAGGTTACCTTTAGCAATGACAAAACTTTAGCATTAACATGCTCGAAGGTGGTCATTATTGGTCTTAGTAAACTAAGATCTTTTTTCAAACTTTGCATCTATAGTGAATCTTAGAATAAATAAAGTTTCGAACTCAAAATTTACAAATTTTAATATAAGGTAATCAATTAGGTATCAATTTTTGGGTGTTGTGGAGGTGTTAATCATTCCCCACGCGTAACTGACTCCCGAACCTGATTTATGGTTTTCGTAGACACAAATTTGGTAACTTTGATAAAATAAAATATTTTATTAAAATTACTCGATTTTTAGTGTTCCAATCACACCTTAAAAATGATTAGTGACAACTCTAAACATTTCATTTCAAAACATTTTTCAAAAACCCCCATCATTACAACTAGTTGTTGGATCTATTCATATCAACGGTCTAGATTAAACAATATCATACCACAAGATTAGGGTTTCTAAACCTTAAATGTTATCCAAGGCCTGTGTCGCCACCAACAGCAATGGAATCGTCGCCCCTGTCAAGCTTCCAAAAACGTCCTCAGCTGCCTCCACACTCGCACCAACAAAGCAACTGGTCTCACTTTCCCATTCCAAGGCTCCAGAAGGCTCAAAACGATGCTCTTCAACACAATGCAAGAGAAAAACAAAATGGAATAAGTTGTAGATTTTTTTATTTATTTACTATGGTGATTCGATTGTAAATAAAAAAGGGGTTTCTATTAAAACCAAATAGAAAATGTAAATCGGGATCTTCTCCCATTCGATTCCCCCCCCCCTTTTTTTAAAAAAAATCACAAGCGATACAAAAATCGTAGGTAACAAATATCTCTCTTCACCATTCGAAAAATGAATAAACAATTTTAACCAGAGTATTCCCTCATCATTTGAAAAAAAGAAGCAATTTGAAAATAAAAAACATAGATGATTATGTGCACCGGATAGGTCGCACCGGTCGTGCCGAAAATGCGGCCTGGCTACTACTTTCTTCAGTGACAGGAACCTATCTCTTGCAAATTCATTGACTGAATTAAGGACGGAATCAAACCGGGAAGTCCCAACTTGGTTAAGCCAACATGCTGAAGATATTGCATCTTCAAGCTTGCAATAATACTTGTGCTGTTCCTGCCATTGATGGTTATTATGCTGCTGCAAGTGCCAATGCTCCAAATTTCGTTAGCAGTGGTGACTTCTATGCCAAATCCAGTAATGAGAATTATTTGGTTGCAGGTGACAAAATTTTAGAATTTGAGAGTAATGAGAATGTAAGATCTAAATCCACACTTTAAACATAATACATGGACTATTGAGAGAATATGATCATTAAATTTGCTCGAATACTGTATGAGCCTGGTATTCTTGAGTTAAAGATGAGTCCAATTTAAATGGCCCATGGGGCATAGACAATAGGATCCGATCCGAGTTGAACATCCTATAAATCATCCGAGTAATCCTTGTGTTTCCTCTCTTAAACCCTAATTTTTATTTCCATAGCAAAAACCCTAGCCTCTCCTCTGTTTTTAATCTTCCTCTTTGCCAGCCGTCTCTCTTAACCAAAATGGTACTTCTCTTTCCATCTCTTCGTCTAATGTTTATTCTTTTTACTTTTACATTACAATTTACTCTGTTTTGGTTTTGCAGACGAGCGAACCAGTGAATCCCAAAGCATACCCATTAGCCGATGCTCAATTAACCACCACCATTATGGATCTTGTTCAACAAGCTGCCAACTACAAGCAGCTCAAAAAGGGAGCTAATGAAGGTTTGGGACATACCCATTTTTTAATTTTCAATATTTGAGATTTCTGATATGAGTTTTCTTCATTTTGTTGGGATTCAGCTACAAAGACCTTGAACAGAGGTATCTCGGAGTTTGTTGTCATGGCTGCCGATACTGAGCCCCTTGAGATTCTGTTGCATCTTCCTTTGCTCGCTGAAGATAAGGTAATTTGGTTTATGGAATTTCTTCATGATATTTTCGTTTGTTTTATTTGTATTTTCTTGTGCATGAACTGAAGTTTGTTTGTTTGTAATATGTTATGTCACTTGATAAAGTAAAGAAGGTAGCTAAAGGTTTGTGCTCTAAACATACATTGCAAATAAAAATATATGTCAACAACGATTATCCTTAAAAATTTCAAATTCTCGTATAATTTTAAGTATCTTCTTTGTATTATACTTTCATAATTTGTTTTATGAGTTCGTCCCCCTTTGAAATTTTATCAATTTGCCCCTCAGAATAAAATCCTGCATTCATCCATGTAAACAGAGTATTATGAGCATTTTGAAACCTTTTTCTGTCTTTTATATTAATTTATACACCACCTTTTCTTGTCCAGGTTTATGGTTGATATGCTGGTCCTTGTTTAACGTTTTGTTCTTCATAACATTGTGTTCTTTTGTTAAAATAAGCTGTTTGGGTCTTGCAAATATTTAGCCATGCAACAGTTTTTTTTTTTTTGACAAATGGTCGTGCTATTGTTGCACGTATATTTCATTGATTCATTTTTTTAAAATTCCTTGTTTAGTATGTCTTGGGATGTCGTATCGTAACTCTATCTAGATATCCAATCAACATGACAATGATCTTTAAAGAACTGTTAGAACAACATAGGATTGTATGTAAGATTATGGTACTTTCTGTTGTATACGACATGTTTTTCCACACTTCAGCTTTGAATTCTTGATGGTTCATGGCTCAATGTAAAGTTTATCATGGAAAAAAATGTCAACTACCACTCCTTAGCATCTTTCCAAGGAGCGAAAATGTCAGGGATTGGCAGCTAAAATTTTCTATTGCCCATGGTCGTTGAAAGATTACAATTTGCGACAGCACACTAACAATCTCTAAATTTAAACTTTTTGTAGAATGTGCCATATGTATTTGTTCCTTCAAAGCAAGCACTTGGGCGAGCATGTGGAGTGACAAGACCTGTAATCGCATGCTCTGTCACGACAAATGAAGGAAGCCAATTGAAATCGCAAATACAACAGCTCAAGGTATACTTTACTTTCTGAAAGAATATGTTACATTGTGCGGCTCATTTTTTTTCATATGTTTTTTTTTTGCGTATTTGCTTATGCTGTTCGTCTGTGAAATGCAGGATGCCATTGAGAAGCTCCTAATCTAAAGATATTATGCAATTCGTATTCGGTGTGATGGGCCTCTTGGAATGTGGTGGTTGCTCCTTTAGAGGCTTTGACTGATGAAGTGGTGCCACTATTGAGCAGGGCATTTAGTGTTTGAACTTGAAAAAATGTCATTGTTGTGTCTCATTATGTTTTCTTATGAACTGAGAGAAAGGGTAATCTTGAATTTGATGTTTAGCTCAATTTAGTATGAATCATGTTATGAATTAATGTTTGCCTGAACTTGTTAAATATGTTCCATTTCTGCTGATCTTGATTTACAATTATGTGACCGGTTTCTCGGGGTTCAGACATATCCATGCTTACATTTTTATCAGTTAAGAAAGAAAGGCACATTATGAGTGACTCAGACAAAAATAAAGAATTAACAGAGAAATAAATAATAAAACAAAAAAAATGCCGAACTTACTCTCTTCATCTCCATCCTTTGTGTAGTGAATAGAATGTCTCCTATTCAGGAGTCAAGATTTAAAGTGGAGAAAGTTTAGAGATTAGGTGTAGGATAGAAGCGTAATTTTACGTTAGAAGTGTAAATTTATAATATCTTGAACGATATATACTTATAAAATATAAAAAAATAATAAAAATATTTTTTTAATAAAAAATACAAAAAAAATCTAAAGCATATAAAAATTTAATTTTGTGAAGTGACGATTTTCCTCATTTGTCTTTATCAAAGATGAATTAAAATAATCAGTCTCAATATTCTTGTGTCGTCTTCTTCTCTTCCTTTGTTTCTTGTTTAATAATCTTAATATTGGTTGTCGACCGCCGGTGATTATAATTTTTCTTTTTTTTCATATTATGTATTTTTTAGTTTTTTTTAATTTTTAAATAAGAATATTTGTCCTTATGACACATTTTTTTATGTTCTTGTGGCACGTTTTTTATCTGCTCTTGTGACACGTTCCTTATGGTTTTCGATAAGTTTTTCGCATACTTCTGCGGTCACATTGGTGCTTCCACAAATATCCTCACAACATTTGTTTTCTGATTGGCTTGTCGGTGGTCAAGTATGTCAGATCCCCTCTTTTGTAAATGGTCGTTTCTCGATTTAATCAGAATTGTATAGTGAAGTAGTCTGCTAAATTATCTGGTTCACTCACCACTCTTTTATCACATTGTAAACATCTCGTTCGACATAGACGTTTTATGAAGGTTACTGGATTTTTTTATGTTTGGAAGATTTCAATCTCTTCGTAGTTTTTGGTTTAATATTTTTTATTTTATATATGAGTTTTTGGTGACTATTGTCTCCAACTTTCTCTTTAGATGTATTATAATTTTGATTCTTTCATTTTTATTAATGAAATTCAATTGTCATTGTTAAAAAAAGTTGTAAAGATGAAAAATGGAAGTTGAAGGCAAGCCTAAAATGACTTAAAAATTGAATGGTTTACCAAAAGAAAATGTCTTTCTTATGTTGATGTGTGAAATACTCTCTATGTACCATCAAATTCTGTTTACTATTTGACTTTTTTAATCAATATTTCATCTTTAACACATAAAATTTATAATTGATAAAATATAAAAAAATATTTTAAAAACTTTAAATCAAATAATTTTTAAATATATATTTTATAAATTATAATTATTTAAAATATCTATGATCAAATTTTAAAAATTTTAATTTTTAAAAAGTCAATAAGTGAACATAATTAGTAAAATTCATGCACTAGAGGCTATAATAGGATGAATGAGTGTTAATTGACAAATAATCAAGAATATTTAAAACATATATCACTTGTAATCATTTTATCTCAATAAAAAAAATTTAAAAAATAATTATATGAAAGATGGTGGGTGAATCCCATTGGTTGAATGGATAATCCACGGATTGGCATCTATGATGCAGTTAGTAGACGGCCGATGTCGTATCTTGCGGTCCTCAACAATAAAATTGAAAAGCCGCTTAAAAGAACGAATCTTATTGGTCATTTCCCATCGCCCACGGATCCTGTATTTGATAAAAACTCAGCCGTCCATAATATACGGTTCAGATTTACTCATTTAAAACATTTAGTTAAAAGAACAAAATTTAAAAGTTCACTTCTTCCCGCTGCTTCCCAATTACCCCCTATATATATATCCCAAAATCTATTCACTTCCGCCACCAAAACTTTCTCTTCAAATTTATCTTACTTTCTTGCAAACCAAACACGATTTATTCATCTTCAAATCGTCCTAGCAATGGCTCGTACCAAGCAAACAGCTAGAAAATCAACCGGCGGAAAAGCCCCAAGGAAGCAGCTTGCCACAAAAGCCGCTCGGAAGTCGGCTCCGGCAACCGGCGGAGTTAAGAAGCCTCATCGTTTCAGGCCAGGAACCGTGGCTTTGAGAGAAATCCGTAAGTATCAGAAGAGTACGGAATTGTTGATCAGGAAGCTTCCTTTCCAGAGGCTGGTGAGGGAAATCGCTCAAGATTTCAAGACCGATTTGAGGTTCCAAAGCAGCGCCGTTGCTGCTCTTCAAGAAGCGGCTGAAGCTTATCTCGTTGGATTGTTTGAAGACACTAATCTGTGCGCTATCCATGCTAAAAGGGTTACAATCATGCCCAAGGATATCCAGCTTGCTAGGAGGATCAGAGGAGAAAGAGCTTAGATTACCTGTATCTAGTGTATTAATTATGGAATTAAGGGAAATCTAGGGTTTCTTTCCGTGTCGTGTAATTTGCTTTCTGTGCAAAATTTGGATGTAAGGTGGAATTATAATGAAGGTCCTATGTTTTTGTTGGTTCAAATGGGACTTAGCTTTATTACTTTAATCTTCATATTCATTCCTCGAAACCTTTTGGGTTTAAATACTTCCACTTATCTCTTCTAAACTACACCCGCTTTCGCAAACTCAAGGCGCTAACTTCTCCCAACACGGTTCCCTTATCTCTTCTAAACTTTTTGGCTTACCTTATCTCCGGGGATGCTGATGCTTGAATTGTCCGGTTTGAATCGTAAACTTATCTCTCGAAAAGATGGAAACTAATCGTTTAGTCTTTTTAGTTAATATAATGGTAAGTCATTTTGCCGTCCCAAAACTTTATAATTAATTTTTGAACCCAAAATAATTTGGGCCTCCTTTGTAATCTCGGCTTACTTTTAGAGCTATAAATTAGTTGAGTTGAATTTAAATAGTTTTTTTTTTAGTTTAATTCGACTCGAAAATTTGTGAATTTAAAGTTTTTAAACTTCACTTGAAATAAAAAATTAAAATTCAACTTGAACATAAATTTTAATTATATGAAAATCTTATATTGTATTTAAAAAATGACATATAAATGATAATATTATTAATAATTTAATTTAAAAATATATTATTTTTTCAAATAACTCACAAGCTTGTCAAATTGATTATCAACTAACTTACTTCAATTTGAATGTTAACAAACTTTGATCGAATTAATTTCAAATAATTCGTGATTTATCTTTTCTCATTTAGAACCCTTAGCCTTATCCTACGAGCAGTGTTTTGAAAACCGGACTAAATCGGTCGGTTCAACTGGGAACCGCTGTTTGGTCAGGTTCATTTTACACCGTTTAAACCATTACTAGTGAACCGGAAGGATCTGTTCGAACTGGATCAGACCGTGAACCAATTGAAAACCGGTTTTGTTTTGTTTTTTCTAAAAAAATTAAATCAAACGACGTTGTTTGTTAAACGAGCCGAGTCGAATTCAAGTATTGCTGAGCTCGACACAAACTCGAAAACTTTAAAAGTAAGCTCAACTCAACTCAAGAACTCACGAGCTAAAAATTATCAAATTTAACTCGAACTTGAAATATAATATTAAAACTTGAACTCAAAAAAGCTCGAGCTCAAAAAAATTTTAAAAGCTCGATTGAAGCCTGAAATTAGAGCTCGATTGAAGCAAAAGAATAGTTCGCTCTGTGCTCACCAAAAGGCTCCATGATTTTGAATGTCAAATTACATCTATTATTTATAGAAGTCAGTTGGGATGCTCTTATATGTTTCATAGCCATGTGGGATTGTTTTGTTTTCATATTTTTACTCTTTAGACTTTTGTGATGCTCTTCTATGTTTCTTAGTCATGTGAGATTTTTTTAAAAAAAAAATTAAACTAAACGACATCGTTTGTTATGATTTTTTGAGCCTCAAATTTATTTTTTGATTATAGTTATATAATTATATTTATTATTTAATATGTTTTACCTTAAATATTATGTTGTAGTTTATTTGAATCATTTTGTTTCACTTGATTTTATGGTTTTTAACTTATATATGTTATAACTTACTTTGAATATGACTTGTGATATAAAAAAACAGTTTTTTATTAAATGTTTTTATATTTTTATTTAATTTTTTAAATAATTAATTAATTATGACATCGTCCGGTTCTTTAGACCGGTCTGACCGATTCAATCGGTTGAACCAGTGAACCGATAGCATGGCCGGTTCACTGACCGATCTGATTCTGAAAATCATGCCTACGAGAGATAGTGTTTGGAATTGGCATAAGGGAAACTATATGGATACGGTCTAAAAGAGATTGTAATTAAAATATGATGTAAATAATAAAAAATTGATTTGAAATTAATTAAAATTTATGTAAAGTAAAATATTATTGTATTAAAATTTATATAAACATAAACAAGAAATAAAAATCAAAGATTGAATAAGTATTGCTTATGAGAGAAGTAGTATTCAAACTTGTAAAAATATTATATTCTTTTCATCTTTGGTTCACATTTATTTCGCTTGGCCCATAAGTCAAAAAAAGCAAAGAAAAATAATTATTTTTGTCCCCTCTAATTAATAAGGAAGTTCCCAATCAGTAAAACAAACATCGTGCGGTGCTTCTTTGACATAATTTAGCTTTCATTTCATCGTCACGTCAACCCACAATTATGAAATATATCATTATTTTTTATTTATCAAAATGAAAATTAGTTTCATGCGTGAAATGAAGAACTGAAAATGGATGTTGAGAATAACTACTCATTATATTTTTTTCAATTTATCATCTCAATGTTTGATGATAGATTTAATTGTTTGAGTTAAAGGATTTAATTATAAGTAAAATAATAGATAATTAGTAGTGAGAAAATTTATGTATATATTATTTTTAAAATAATAGATTTATGTACATATTATTAAATATGTCAATAATGTGATAAATATATCAAAATAATGATATAATTAAGGTTTAATATAAAAATAAGTACCAAAATTATATATATATTTTATTTAGATGTCTAAATTATTTTTTAGTAAATTCAACTTCTAATATTACAAACGTTACTATTTTAAGTATCTCAACCGTAATAAAAATTTAATATTTTCGTTAAATAACATGCATCATATTTATATAATTTTAAAAAATAAAATTATATAAATTTTTAATAAAGCACAAAAATTTCTCAAATCTTAAAAAACCCAAAATTTTAAAAACTCTAATTTCAATTCCTATATCCATGTCGGTTGTCGTTGTTTATCGTTGTTGCAATTGATCGAACCTCCACCATAATCTCCCCTTAACAACAAGTTGAATTGATGACCAAGAATCTAGAAATCTAACGTCCCCAACGAAGAAAACAATGAACCTAGACACTAAGCAATGAACTCAAACCCTCAAAATTGTGACACTCAGGTAGAGATGTCAAACGAGTATAATTTCGTGGATTTCACACCGCACTCATTTCAATTGGGGCGAAGATGGGTATAAGTTTAGTGGGTAGTGGGCGAGTGTGGATGTAAAAAGTCATATCCGTCGTGGGTAGCGGGTAGGTGTTGGGTTTGAGATCTTACCCACCTCGTATCTGCCCACCCAACATTTGTGAACTACCCATCATATAAATTTTGGACCATTATAAATTTAGGTATACTTTTAGAGATTATTATGTAAATCTTAAGATTTTATAGGATATGCCTTGCAGTTTAACCAAATATTTTGATATAAATATTTTTAGAATTGAGATCATCGCTTATATAATCCGTGAGATTTATGTTAGGCGGGTATGAATGGGTGCAAATGAGTACGAGATGGGTGGTGGGTAATCAGTTAGATTATGAGTATGAGGATGGATTTGAGAATATACATACATGGGCGGGTGTGGATTTAAAACTTTTATCGAGATGGGTAGATGGTGGATACAGAAATAAAGTAGGTATGGAGATGTGAGTAAGGGTATCCATATCCACCCCGTCCGTTAGTCATCTCTACACCTAGACGATCTGACGACACATATGACAGAAAAATGATGACGATGATAATGGAGACGTCAAGAGTAGTAGAGGCGTCGATGAACGACGATAAATAATGATATATTTAATAATATTTCAACAATATTAGTAAAATTGTCAGTTTATTAAAAGGATATCAGATAATAATTCTATACATGTATAGTCGTGCTGATAAATTTTTTTTTCTTTGAAATAGATTTTCATAAAGGCTAAAAAGAGAATATAACAAATAAAATGTCAAAAATAAGATAAAGGTGCATGAACACAATAGGTAAACATCACAGAAGCAATGACGTCTTATCCAACCGCACCGCACCTCAGCTTGCACAGTACTTGCAAAGGACAAAGGGCAACAGAAATCACAAAACCAACTTTTTGGTCAATGTGAAAAGATGCTAAACTTAAACCATACATCCACCTCCATCACTTTCTTTTACGTAATTATTTACTTTCATTTCTTTTATTCTCCTAAATGCTGTACATATTAATTAAATCGTCCAGACAAATTTTGAATTTTGATCTCACAATATCTTTTCAAATAGTATAACGCAAAAAATATTATTTGATTAAATAATTATTTTAATTTCTATTTCTATTTTGATTTTAATATTTTATTTTTTATAACTTAGTGTTTATTTAATAATTATTTTAACTCGTATTTTCTTCAATATTTAGCTCTAATTTTCATTTTAAGATTTTCAGCGTTAATAATTTGTTGACTAACGATTTCCGATTATAAATAAATATTTTTGTTCTAAAATAAAATATTATAGACCAAAATACTCTAAAATATAGGAACCAAGATAAAATCAAACAATAAAAATATTTTTTAGTATTACACCTCTTAAAATTTAGGAGAAAGATAGGTACAATTACTTGAATTATACCACTTTTTAATTTTATTATAAAAATTATAGTATATTATTTATGTATATAATTATGATTAATATTATTTTCATGGTTTTTATTAACGTATGAAGTTGAAACAATTACTATAAATATTATTTTTTAATAAAAACATGTTTAGAAAATTTTAAGTAATTATTTTAAAATCTAAATTTATATAATTATTACACTTTCATAAACTATTATATGATTATCAAACCGAAAAATTTGAAGCCACGATGAAGATAGAGAAATGAGGAAAAATAAAACACATTCTGAGTACAAAGATTTTGTTATCTTTGACGAAATCAAGCCCTCCATCAATGCTTGCATTATATACGTAAATATATGCATGAATGTTGGACGAGTTTTAGTGTATATACAATGAATATTTCAAAAAATTAATTAAAAAATTATTGTTTATTTTAAAAAAACACATTCATTTGACCATATTCTCTTCATCTCACCCTTTTTTCTTTAAATTAATTAATTTGCAAGACCAATATTTTATTCAATAAACATTTGCCTGTTCTTAATTTTTTTAAGAGTATATGTTTTAATTTATTAAATTAATTATTTAAAATTTATGATCTCAATAATACAAATTGAATTTTAAGTACGATGCAACATGATAAATAAAATTTGATTTTGTAAC